ATTTTACAAAATTCAATGGGCCTAGATATTCTAATTGCAGCACAAAATGTAACCTGTGCTATTATCAAAACAGAATGTTATGTATAGGTTCCTGACAACACAAATATGTCTTTTGCGTTACAAGATTTGCATTCATAAATTGATGCAATGTTAGTCTGTTTCTTAAGCTTCAGTGACTTGCTGATATCCTGGCTCTCTGGAACAACCTGCTGAGAAAAAATTCTTGTACTTTTCAACTATGATACTTAGGAATTCTTTTGTTGCCTGATGTAATGTTGTATTGGGCTAATGTATTGCATGCATAATGTATTGTATTTCTAATTATTAAAAAATGATGTTTCTTCAAACAGTGGGACCCCCTATTCCTATGTCTTCTTAGATAAATAAGGACAATGTTTTTGATCCCTGGCTAAGCAGGGTCATAGCCCCTCCTCAGCCTGAAGCAGTCTTTATAAGAAGATGGATCTTTGGCCCCTCTGCCTTCTTTAAGAAAAGGGATCAGGACCAGGGATTTAGCTCAGTGGTGCCACCACCTTCCTTGCATATGCAAGGTCATGAGTTCGATCCCTAGTACCAAAAAAAAAAAAAAAAAGAATGGAAAGAAAAGGGATCAAAGTCAGGGAGGGTGGATAATAGGTAGGATACAAAAAATAATGATAGGCAGAAAGGAGACAAAGAAATCACAATTTTAAAATAGTAATTTTAATTAAAACTGCAGCTTCAGGACACAAACCTAGTTTAATTTTTTCCCCAAGTTTCAATAAGCCTGGGTTATTCTCTTTTTATCTATAAATGAGCCTTGGCCATTTCATTTACCTATAAATGGGCCTTGGGCATTCTCTTTTTTTCCTGCAAATAGGCATTGGTAATTTATTTTCACCTGTAAAATGAGCCTCTCCCCCTATGGATGACTATGGTTCCATCACCTGTGATGGCTATCACCTGTGAATGGGCTGTCACCCTTCCCTTCCAGAAAGAGACATCATGTTTCATGTCCTCTTTCCATAGATTTATAGGTTCCATAGATTCCACCCCAAAGTCCCCCAAAATGTACCTATCCCCAGACCATAATGCCTCACATTCTCTGAACACTCACACACCACTCTTGAATGTATACTTTTCCTTCCTAAATAATTTTTTTCTGTGCCTCTTAGTGGCTAGTCCTGAAAACTCTTTCTGGATCGAGTGTCAGCAAATTTATTCTGTAGGTAGAGTGGATCTACATTCCAAATGTGCACAAAGGGGACTTTCTCAGGCCCAGTCTGGTGACAGTATCAGAAAGTTAGCAAAATCTTTTTTATCTAAACCTTATAAAAATGAAAAATATAATCCTTTTGTGGATGTCATAAATGTAAATATGTGATATTATACTATAATCTAAATGCATGAGCTCATGAAGAGTGAAAACACTTAGTCCCTCTTTATATACTTGGTCCCAAGCCAAGGCAGCCTCAGGACAATGTCTTACAGAAGGACTGATGGTGCATGTTTCCAATGCAAAAACCAAGGACAACTTCTCCAGTCCATGCCTCCAATCCTGGCACAAAATTAGCAATCACAGTTTTCTTAAAATAGGCAGAGTGCTAGTAGCAATGCAAAATTACTTTAAATTCAAATGTTTAGGGCTAGACAACTGATGTACTTAACAGCATCAGTACATTCAAAGACCATGGATACAGCCTGAGTATTCCATATAGTACAAAAATAAATTTTGTCAGTCTTTTTGGCTCTGATCTTTCCAGTTCCAAGAACAAAAGCCTCACTTAAATGTAGCCTCTGTTTGCTTAGGCTTCAGCAGCCCCTAAGAAGGGGGCACACAAACCATAATGACTCATTTTAGTAAGTTGGCTCACACAAAGCTATGAGGGGGGGTGACACCACTGTAGCTCTGAGAAGTGCCCTTTCTATACCCTCCACTCCTTACCATGTGGATGGCATGTGCTCATCCCCCTTTTAGCTTGAGAACTACTTTTGATCTCCAACCTATACAATAGAGGGAAACGTCAGAGTAGTAAGAAATGAAGCTTGTGTTTGGAATTTTGGCTCCTGGCAGCTCACGTTTTCAGCTAAATATCACATTGCCTCTTCAGAGCACAGCCTAGCCAATATGGAAGTGTGGATTTTTTTTGTTGTTTCTAAGATTCATCAAAATTATGCTTGCACATAATTTAAAAGTCAATGAGTAATTTGAGTTTTTGTTACAAAACAGAACAGCCACCATTTCCTGCTACAACCACTTTTAACTCTAAATGCTTTTGAAACATACCTGCACATCTCAGAACACTATGTATATGGCTACTTCTTTTTCAGTGTTAGCCTTTATGTGTAGATATCTTTTCATGAAAGATAAAAATTTGAACTTTTTTATACACAACTTACCTAGGTCCCCTATGCACACACCTCTATCCACCCACATACATTCCCAAAATGCTTACATAATTTTGGATAGATCACCATACCAAGTTTAAATTATTATTGCAGTCTAAACACTGTTGACTTGGGCCACACAGTAAACTTTCATTAGGGTTCCTCGCCTTAATAATTTAATATTTTCTCTGGAATGAAGAACTGTCTTAATTTTGTTTTATTTTTGCTTATTTTTTCTTTGAAGTTTATTATCCCTTGGATTTTCCCTGCTGTCAGAACCTCTTCCCAGTTCATTCAAACACATAGGGCATGCTGTCTTCTAGGTTTGTTTTCCCCCTACCCCCGGGCCTCCAACTTCTTCACTCTGCCTGGCTGGCTGTTAAGATCTCCCTCTTATCACTGTCCTACAGGTTCACACTGCTTTTCTCTGTTGAAGATTTCCTGCTTCCAAGAGTCCACATTTTTTGTTTTAGCTTAATCTTTTATTTGGGCAGAGCATTCTATGCTCACTTCTCAAATAAAATGCATGGAAATAAATCTTCCATCTTTGAAAATGGTTTGTTTTACTCATAATTAATGGATTGTCTGGGTATGGAATTCTACAGTAGAAATCCTTTTACTTCACAAAATGGAAAGCATTACTCCAGTGATTTCTGGCTTACTATGCTGGTGTATGGAGTGGAAAGCCATTGTGGGTTTTTGATAGTTTCAGTGTCTCCAATTTTAGCTCTATGGTAGCTTTTAAGAAAGTTTGTTCTTGCACATGTGTGTCCTATTTATTTCACTTAAGAGTATGGCCTCAATAGGCATCCGTTTAGCTATAAATATCTTTAGTTTCTCGGTCTTTATGGCTGAGTAGTACTCCACTTTATTTTAAAAAACCACATCTTCTTTATCCAGTTTCCAGTTGATGGCATTTGGGCTGTTTCCAAGCTTTAGCTATTACAAACTAAGCTGCTATAAACTTGGGTGTACATATATCGCTGTGGTATGATTCTTTTAATTCTTTTGGGAAGATACCCAGCAGAGGAATACCTGGGCCATATGGGACCTCTAGCCCTAGTTCTTTGAGGTATCTCCATACTACAGATACAAATACCCAATGATAAATGTAAACATATTGTATACCTAAAATGTACTAATAAAAGAATTTAAGCAAAAAAAGAAAGTTTGTTCTTTCCTTGCCAAAGCAACCACTGTTTTTGTTCTTTGATAGGTTGATACAAAGGTTATTTTTGCCTACTCTTGAACTTTGTATAAATGAATTTATACAATATGTACCCTTTGTGTATGGCATCCTCAGTAACATTTTTAACATTCACCTTTTTTAATATCTATCAGTAGTTAATCTCTTTTTATTGGTTACTAGTATCAAATACACATGACTTATTTATCCATTCACTGTTTGATAGAAACATGAGTTCTTTCTAACTCTGGAATATTATGAAAGTATATTTGAAAGCTTGAACATATTTTATACAAATTATTTTGTTCAATTCACTAGACCAAATCACCCAACAGAGAAAAACCTCAAAGTAAATTTCAACAAAATAAGCAAGAACTATATACATTTTAACATCCCCGTATTTCTGTAGAAACACACAGATTATCTCAAATATGATTAATCTGAGTCTTTTTATTTCCCACATTTGGTTCACCAATCAGGATTCTCTAAGATCCTTGGCAAAATATTGTTAGGCCCCACCCTAAACCTAATAAGTTGTCATTCCTAAGAGAGGGTGATTTAATTTACTAGATGTGGAGCCACTGGGGTTTTCGTGCACACCCCAGGTGATTCTGGTATTTCAAATTTGAGAATCACTGTATGCAATAAATGAATTTCATCACTTTTGTCATAGATGCATAATGACGGTTAGGTGGCCAGAGGTGTTCTGCCCTGGGTGGGCCATCTGCTAACACCTAAGATAAGGACAGTCCCAATGATGGGAGTGAGATGGCTATGACTTGCTAGGCTGTTTGCTCAGGAGAATGTTGCTGATTTCTCACACAGTGTCTCATAACATCCAGTGGACAGAAACTTAAAGACAAAAAAATCAAGAGTGTCATTATTTCCAATTCTACTACTAAATGTTAATACTGCCCTTAGAAAATCTTGTCCACTCCATATGCCTCCCTTTCTTCTCACATAAAACAAAAAGACTGAAAGAGGTAATGCCATTAATTAAAATTATCCAAATCCTGAAAAGAAGACTAAAAGTTCACCCTAGAGTATTTTCCAACAGTCAGTTACCTCCTGAGGGTAATCCACTGTCTGTAAGAACCACTTTGCTTGACTCAGAGCCTATATTAATTTTTAGAAAACAGATGAAAAGCAATATTACCTTTGTTCAGTGGAGATACAAATGATATCTATTTGTTAAAAAAAATAATGCCTAAAATTGGTAATTTGTGAAATGAAACCAAGACCACACACCTAAACACGTGGAGGAATATGGGATAAAAAAGCCAAAACAGAAGATGCCTTATGGAAAGAAATAGGACTAGGGTAGGAAAGATTGCTTGTAAACATAAGCATGCACTATTTTGTCATGAAACTTAAAACTTTTTTTAAACTCTAAGCAACAAAAGTTAATGTTTTATTGCCATATATTCTTAATTATAATCTTTGTTCTTCATTCTCTGAGGGTGGGAGAAAAAGCAGTATCTCCAGCCCCATGCACAGTCATCCATGAATTGACAGGCAGTGTCTTCAGATCAAGCTCCCAGAAGTAGACATTGCAGTTCAGTGTAGTTATAGAGTAGCTCTAATTGTTCTAAATCTGGTAGTTCCTTCTAGAATCCAAAAGTCTCTGTTCTGGTACAACCAGCCCTATATGGTGCCCAACTTCTCAAGGTCCAAAGAAATCACATTTTCAATAAATATCAGCCAGAATCTCACACGACTCAAATGCAAGAATATTTGATATTGTGAGCATGTAAAATCCAGGTATGGAAAAGACCAATCACCTGAAAATAAGGGTGTTGCTATTCCCAGGGATCCCGTGGTTTCGATCACCATAACACCACAGCACCATAGCACTGGGAAACATTTCTCATGCATTGTGTCCTGTGGGCTGCACAGCTTCTGCTAGAGAGGAGAGCCATACATCACCCAATCTCTGTTCTGAGTTCGCATTCTGGCCTTCAGTGGCCACAAAGCCATTGTTTCTTCATCCAGAACACAAGGTGGTAACAGCAGCCTGTTCACTTCTCAGCACTGGTGTGAAAATGGCACTGAGAGCATACAGAGGAACATATGCTAGAACTTTGAAAATTTAAGGACCTCTGAGCAAGCTACCATCTCCAAGCTGAGTTCAAGCTTCTATATATAAATTGAAGTTTATGTTGTATGATTTTCCCTGGTCTGAAGTGAGGAAGATGGGGTCATCTTTCTTGGAAGAGGCAATGAACCAGCCAGGAAAGGCCACAGACTCAAAGGTGGAGGTGCTTCCTGTATGGGAGCGGTAAAAAAGGAAGGGCTTCACAGGCTGGGGTTGGTTGTACAGATCCAAAATCTTCTTCTCCTGAAATGTGAGAGAGGATACTCATGGGACAAATGGAAGCAGCCAATGGAGATTTCAAAGTTCAGGAAAAACTTATTCACGTGAGTTGGACTAGAAAAATGTATTTCAAGGAAGTATCAGATCAAACACATAAAATCTCATCTTCCCAACCCTACCTTCAAATCCAAGGAGTTTGTCATAGAAAGAATACAAGGAACAGGATATCATAAGAAGGATAAAAGGACAGATTAATGAACAAGCAGCCTTGTTTGAACAATCAGTTGGTCCTCTTCTCACACAATAGGCTGAAAGAATCCCTTAAGACTAAGACACAAATCTCAAGCCAAGGACCTCCCTTACCAAAGCAGGAGCAGTGACAGCCATCACCCTGCAAGGGAAACTGTTTCAGCAAAGAACAGATAGGTTGGTATTTGTGTTTCTGAACAATTCCAGAAGATCTGAGAAAGATCAACATCATGAACTAGACATAAAAATATCTAACAAAGAAAAAGATTTTTCATCCAAAGGAGCAAAGTAAGTAGAGCAATCAAAATGCCCTTATTATTATATAAATATATTATTATGTCCACATGTTGTATATGCATATATTGTATATTTTGGTGAAATAAGTTTTTGTAAGTCACATATGTATAAGATCTCAAGAGAGACAGGAATGGTCTTTAGAGTTTAGCCACATTACATCCTGAGTGAAGAATTTCTTCTCCCACAGGATTCCTTTATTCAGTTAATCATTTCAAGCTACTTATCTGATTCTTTGGGTGACCAAAAGCCTAGGAGTTTTCCTTGATACCTCTTTCTTTGATCACCCAACATCTAACCCAGCAGTAAGTTCTGTAGACTCAGAACATTTCCTGGATTGAGCTGCTTCTCCTTCCCCTCATTTCCACATATATTGCCAACACCCAACTCAAGCTATCTCCCCCTCTGCACTGGATGATCATGGTGACTTCGTAACTCTTCTCGGTGAATCAACCATTCTCCACAAAGTAGTTGAGCAAACTTTAAACTGAAATAAATATAGTAAATAAAATCATGTTCTTTTCTGCCTTACATTTCTTGCATCATTTTCTGTTGTAATTACCATGAAATCCAAACTCTCTAACAAAGCCTTCAGGGTCTACATCAACCAGCTCTTGCCTATCTCACTGTTCTTACCTCTTACTACTCTCTAAATGCTAATTCTGCTCCTGCCTTACTTGCCTTCAGCCTCCCCCTCAATACACCAACATGTGCCTGTCCAGGGTCTTGGTACTTATTCTACCTGGACACTCCAGCCCCACACTTGCCCAAGCTGGCTCCTTCCTATAACTCAGGATTCACCTCAGATATCCCTTCCTTAGAGAGAACTTTACTGAACATCCTCACCAGAGATTTCAAATCCCACCTCTCACTCATCACTGCCTCATTCATGTGTTATTTTCTCCATTATTATATTCTGCATTATTTTTGCATCACTATCTAAACTTAGCATATTTATCTCTCAATCATATAATTAATGTCAGATTTGGCCATCACTCTCTAAATGTAGCATATTTACCCATCAATCACATAATTATCATCAGAATCATACATCACTGCATTTCTCAACATGGATAAGAGCCCCTGGCTGATTGTTTAACAAATGCCTTCTCATTTCAAACTCTCTACCTCTTCCACCATCTTCATTTTACTCCTTTCTGATGAGAAAGCAGATCCATGAAAGAGAACTTCCACAAACCATGCTACAACAAGGACCCCAGCACATCTCACCCACACTTGTGCCTCCTTCCCTGAGTTGGGCTGGGTGGTGGGTCTCATCTATGGCTACCAGTTTAAAGGCATTCCTCTAGCCTTTCTCTGTGCTCTCTTGTTCTTCATCAGTTTTGTTTCTCTATTCAGTCACTCCCATCAGCATAATTTGTTTTCATTTCTATCATTTTTAAAACATAGTCATATGTCACTTGATGACATGGGTACATTCTGAGAAAAGCATCATTAGGAATTTTCATCACTGTCAACATTGTATAGTGTACTTACACAAATTAAGGCAGCTATGATGTCACTAGATGACAGAATCTTAGAAGACTATCATCCTACATATGGTTCATCACTGGCTAAAACTTTGTTATGTGGCACCACTGCCAGTCCCCCTTTGCAGAAAACTCTTCATAACAGCTGCCTGTATTTGCTGTCTGGTTTCTCTTGTGATTTCTCTCTTCAAACTTACTCCAAACTTTCACCCTCACTACCATACTGACACTGTCCTCACCAAGGTCCTCAATGTCCCACACATGGCCGAGTGCAATGGACCAGTCTCAGTCTTCATCTGAGGACAAAAACACAGCAGAAAGCTGACTTACCTGAGCATGTAATTCCCAGTCCTCATTCTATTTATCACACTCATGTGCTAATAAATATTTCCAAAATCAGACTGCTTCTCTCTACCTCCATTGCTGTCATCTGGCCTTTCTAATCACACCTAGCTCACTCCAAAGCCTCCTGAAGGACTTTTACCCTTGCCCCTACAGCCTGTGATCAACTGGAAGCCAGTGTGATCCTTTTAAAACTGAATTCATTCATGTCACTCTTCTTTCAAATCACTTCACTGAGATCATAAGTCCAAGTCCAAAGAAAGCCAACGCGCCCTTCCTGGTCTGGATTTTTCTCTCTGAATTCCTTCCTCCTCATTTCACTCCCACACCTCTGCCTTCACTGGTCCTGAGACTTGCATTCAGTGGATGCCCTGCTGACTAATTCTCTTGCCTCCTTCTCTCTGCCTAGATTTCACCATCACAGGGACGCCTACTGCACTGTTCCTAACTGCAGCTTGACACTCTCCACCTCCGCTCCTGACGCTGCAGTCTCTTTATCTTGCTCTAATTGTTCCTTTCAAAGAGACAGACACCTTTTAAGACATCACAGATTTACCCACTAATGTGTTTACTGTGTGTATTGTCTGCTGTTTCTCTCCTCCCACTAGAATCAAAGTCCTGTGTGGTTAGGGCTCTTTGCCATCTGTGCCAGGACATATCTCAAGAACATGCATGGTGCTAGAAGCCACTTAAGTAGGCATACATTTGATGAACTGAATTGGATTGAGTTGAATGAAATGAATTAAAGTTAATGAATAAGAACAAATACATATGCATACATGTAGTTATATATATACATACATATATTTTATATAGACAGATATGTCTATATAAAATCAACCAGAGAGTTGAGAAAATAAAAGAGTAAAAGTTGACTTTTTAAAAAAATGCTAGAGGATGACTTAGGAGATAAGATTGAAAATATTATCATGAAGTAGAAAATTGAACCAAGAAATTCTTCTAGAATGCACCACAAACAAAAAGTAAAAAGTTGGCCAGGGGGTTATCTTAGTGGCACCACACCTGCCTCACAAGTGCAAGTCCTGAGTTTGATCCCCGGTACCAAAAAATAAAATAAAATGTGAAGGGTAGAAAGTATGGCAAATTAGATGACAGAGTATCAGGTACTGAAATCTAAGAAGTGAAATCTAAGAGTTCCAGTGACGGATGAATAGGAATTCCAAAAGGAAAGATATGGCAGAATTATGTAGAGAATATATTGAAGAAACAGTGACTGAGAACATCTCAAAATTTAAAAAAGACAGAAGTCCTCAACCAGTAAAGGGCAGGATAAATTAAAGTCTCTTGGATACATATTACTCAGTAGGAGTTAGGAATAAATACACTTAAGAAAATGATATTTCTTTTTCGATTATAATATTAGGTTTTCTGTCAAATAAAACTCTTGTAAAGCAACATTGGCTTTTTAAAATGTTACTTTTCTTAAAAAATAAAAATAAAAGAATTAAATGTTACTTTTCTTAGTCACTGACCTTCAGCACCAATGTGGGTTGTCCTTCAACATTCTCACAGCACAGACACATATCTGGATTCTGGATCCCCAGATAAATGGGAGTCCCTTTGTCTTGCTCAAGGGACTCTGTATACTTGCATGGTATAACAGTGACAGTAACTACAGAGATAAAAGCAGGAGAGGGGTCAGTTTTCTTCTGAAGTCAGGGAAATGGAATAGTTCTTCTAGTTCTGATTTTCCAAAGTAGTGTATTCCAGGTTGGGCTGGAAGATTCAAAAGAATGTAATTCTTGCTATCCCAGACTCACGAAATGGCCAACAGTTATATCCATTCAGGCACTTATCCATCCTTCCCATATGGAAAATCACTGCCTTAGTAAATGGAGCAAAGAAAGTTAAATAAATGGCAGGCTTTGCTCTTGAGATTTTGAAACCTGTACTTGAACACCTGGAAATGGGAAGCTCCTACTCCCAGAAGCACCTCTGATCCTCAGAGAGCCCTGTTCATTAGCAAGTTCCGCCTATTGTGATTTTGAAATGTGTCTTCCTGTGTCACACACCCATTTAGTCTTTTTAGGATATCTTGAGGTCAAATAGAACAAGCTAATTCCCTACCATAGGACAGATCAGCTGCTTCAGATCAAAATGCAACTCTTCTAGTCCCTAGGAGGCTCCTCTACCATATCTGATTTCATTATCCTAATCTAAAAGTAACCTCTTCAGTGACTTCTCTTCCCAGCCAGGTGTGAAATTCTGTCCCTTCCAGGTACACCCCATTGAAATCTAGGCTTTTTGCACACATTATAATTGTACACATTTATGGGGTGCAATGTGATGATTTGATATATTTGTATACAATGCAATAATGATCAAATTGGGGTAATTAACACATCCATTACCTCATACATTTATCATTTCTTTGAGGTGAGAGTATTCAAAACTACTTTTCTAGCTATTTTGGAATATACATCACTGTTAACTTTAGTTACTCTATAAAGTTCAATCAAGCATTAGTACTTATGCTTTAACAAAAGGCCACTACCAGCATAAAGTGTGGAACTGCCACAGGATGAGCACTCACCTGACACCACACTATTACTCCGTGGAACAGTCACAAGTGACTGACCCTGAAGGATCCACGCCTGCTGATCCAAATCAGGGATCTTTCCAAGCTGTGAGGAATCTCTTGCTGGTCAGATGGAAACAAATAATGAATAAACATGAAGGCCAAAGTTGCTTCACTCAAGAGAAAAATCACCTAATCTTGGTCCTTCAACATAGAAGACCAGAGGTTTATGCTCCAAAACCCAGCAGCCTAGCCCTTTTATCCAGTAAAGCTATTGGCTCTACTGAAGAGATCAAAGGCTATGAAGGCCAATAAATGGTATAAGAGGGCAAACCATCAAGGAAGAGGATAATGATAGTCCCACAGCACATGTGTGTCAAGGCCCAGCTATTCTTTTATGGACCTCCTCAATGCTTGGAACAATGCTAGGAAATGGAGCTAGAGCAGTGAATGAGCAATGACCCCCACCCTCTGGAAGCCCACAGCCCAGTAGCAGGTGGACAGGACCAAGCATCATACACAGGGAGAGAAAGAGATCCTGGGGTATCCAGAGGACACAGATATGACTGCAAGTGAACCAGGTCACCATAGCCCCATCCCAACATTACTTCCATAAACAATGTTTTTAGGGTTTTCCATAGTTGGCAAAGTGGGGTTAGCTCTGCATCTGTGGGTACAGAGGTAGAACAGATAAGCCTCAGGCAACATTTCTAAGACCTTCCTAGGACACTGTTCTTCAAGTTCTTATTAGAATAATAATAACCTGACTTGACATAAACCTCTAGTCAGAAGACCTAAGCCACTACCCAGGACTTCACAGAAGTCTGAGGGAGGGGTGACCAAGTAGAATTATCCTCCACCCAGAGATCCAGCCAAGAATGTTATCTCCCTAGGAATCCCAATCCCAGGCATGACATTTGACCTTTAAAATTTCAGGCCCCCTGGTGCCAGTGTTTCCTCCTGCCAGAGGTTCCTCGCCTTCACTGTGTCTGTTTCTGTCCAGGGGAAAGAGAGGGTCCATGCCAGGGTGGATCTTCCAAATCCCAGCCATTTCATGGGGGGGGACAGCAAGTCTCACACAGGGAAAAGCCCACAGTAATCCTAGCATGCCCCTACCCCTTATTCATTCCCAAAGCACAGAAGGCTCCAAAGTCAGAGGGATTTTGCAGCTATGGGCTGTACCTGGCAAGGAAGGGTCTTAAGTCCAGTGGACCAAATCACAGTTCCATCAGCTTCTAAGGGTAATAATGGGCTCTAACAGAGCCTGGGTCATTTATCTAGATGAGGAGAGGGAGGTTCCAGTTTCTTGGGTGGGATGTGATCAATGTTCAACATGAAAGAAATCCAGTTCGTCCTGCCAGGAGATCTCAGGAGGCTCTGATGAAGAAATTTCAAATGAGTAGGACTTGTCTGGGTTCCTTGTGAAATAAGTGCTGAACTAAGCCTACCAGGTCAACCACAAAGAAATAGAGGTGATGACAGATCCTAGGTTTCTCAAAAAGGAGAGACTAAGGGACTTCCCCAGACAACCTCAGCCCTCCTGCCATGTCACACTAAGTTTAAAACTGGGACATGACTGGCTCCACCTCCTAGCAGAGGAAACTGGGCCATTACAGGCAGGCTAAGGGGATCTGGGAGAGTCTCCTTGCTCGAGCTCTTCATCCTCATATGGTCTTTCTTGAAGGAGCATGGTTCTTTGCTGTTGAGGTCCTAGTCCTATCACTTTTGGCTTCTGGTTTATCTATCCCCTAGAGAAAGTGTGAAAATGAATTCAAATACACTTCAGTTCCAGATCGATCAGGCCTACCCAGTGTCACATCTCTTGAGTCCCCTCTGCCCTGTTGAAGGACCCCTCAATTATACCTCAGTCAACATATTCCCTTTCTAGGGATGTTCAGCATTAAATAAAGTCCTACTATCAGGCTTCGAAATACCTTAGGTCTCGGTTTTATTCAGGATCCAATCTGGAAAACTGAATCCACACTAGGAATTGCAAACAAAAGTGACTGAATATGAAGAATTGGATATTCATATGCTGGAAGGGTAAATAATAAGAAGGAATTGATGTGGATCCCAGATAGTAACAACTATGGGAAGGCAATAAAAGGAAACAAAATAACCTAATAGCTCCAATGAAGGACCTTGTAGGACTGATGACTGGGTCTCAAGAAGAGTGGATCTCAGACCTCTAAAAAGAGTATGCAGTCTGGTAGATGCACAGACCATGAAGATGGAGGGAAGGAGTCAACCAGGAGATGTTCAGAAAGCCCAAGAGACAAAACTCAAAGGGCTGCATTTTTATTGATTCAAAATCCTCTGGGAACAGCATGAAATTTCTGTGCCAAAATGAAGATTTCAAAAGCCTGTACAGTCTAGTGACATGTATTCTCCTTAGTTTCAGCCTCTTAGTCTACTTGGTCCTGACCTTTCAGTAAATTCCTGGCATTCAGAGAATGTAGGTTTCCCAGATTTCCTATCACTCATCCATTCTGTCATTTCCAGTTTAAACTTTAGTGTGAATAAACAGCAGAGGAATTAGAGGAAATTAGGAATACATAAATCTGTTTTCCATTGCTATAACAAAATATTTAAGGCTACACATTTCATAATGGAAAAAAGGTTCACTTAGCTCACAATTTTGGAGGCTGGGAGTACAAGACCAGCTGGCCCCATCAATTCATCCTCTGGTGAGGGCTTCATGGTGGATGACATCACAATGGTGGAAGCAGCTGTGAGAGCAGTCCCCCGGCAAGACAAAGTAGCCAGGGATTCAGAAGTGGCCAGTCTTGCTCTTTTATATCAACCCTCTCTTGTGAGAACTAACTGGTGTCTCACAAAAAACTGTGCTAAGTCTTTCTGAGGACAGGGCCTCCAATAACCAAGTTCCCTCCCATTAGGCACAGCTCTAAACAGTCCCATCACCTCCCAGCATCACCAACTGAGGAAAGTTTCCAACATGTGAACCCGAGGGAAACACACTCAAACCATAGCAAGGAGCGATGGTGATGAGGGGAGAACTAAATCACTGCAGTTGATGATTAAAGAGCAGAGAGCCCATCTACTAACAAAATGCCCCACACCTTTCACCTTAAAATAAAGAGATGAATATTATAATTCCATAATACCTTCACTTTGCTTTAGAAGACTATCAGTATTGATTATAGTTAAAAATGTAAAGACAGAGTTTTTCTATGTTAACCTAACCAAGTTTCTAGATTCTTTCTATTGTGTTTTATTATCATATAAAACAATGATGATGATGTATATCACTAAGTGTGGATTAAATTCCAATAATACAAAGGCAAATTTCTTACATATGGATATGATTTCAATAGAACAATTAGTCCAGATTCTAGTGTTCAACCTCTGAGATACTATCGTGTATCTTTATTTGGTAATGAGACCTGCTAATTTACTCACTTAACATGCTCATGACCTTATTAAGTTGACAGAGCATCAAAAGAAATCAGATAGAGTAAGAGAATTTGATCATTAACCACCATGAGACTCTCTAAAATTTGCTTATAAATGCCCAATCTATAACACATTACTCACATAACTGGGCTGACAAGCTAATAAAACAGAGGGTATCATGGAGTAATAAAGGTTATATGGCCTTTGTATGTTTCAACTGCACAGAATCAAGTTAGTATAAAACTAAACTTAGAGTCTGTAACTCCCAAATCCAAATCCAGGGCTTTCTGCTGGGATGCTCACAATCCTTGGGGCTCCAAAGAAGGCCAATTCTAGTGTGGTTCAGATCCTCCAAGAGATACTTACAAGCAAGGCTGGACATCTGGTGGGATGCCCTTGGAAAGACCCGGCACTTATGCCTCTTGAACTGATGAACAACCTGGTGGGTATCATGAATCACAGAGACCAATATGGGGCCATTTATCCTCTTGCAAACTCAAGGGAATGCCAAGAAAATTCTTGGGGCAACCTCTGTGCCACAGTCCTTACCCAGGGTAGGTGGAGTGACATGGTTGGCCATCTTCAAAGACCTCTGCTTGTCCAAGCATCCCAAGCCAGGTCTAAGACTTGTTTTCTGCAAGCTGATCCATCACAACCCCTGAAGTTGATCTCTGTGAAATCCCAGACTTTAGGATATACACCAGCTATTTAACATCTTCATCTACTTCACTAGAAAATGATGGGCAAATTAACAAAAATAACCTCAAAGCTACTCAATAAAATGACAGAAGAAAATACAATCATTAAATGAATTAAGACAAAAGAATGAAGCCATACAGGACCACCATAAAGATATAATTCTCTAAATTTAAAACAGGTAATTATACACTTATGTGGGACAACAACAATAATGATGAAACAATAAAAAGACTTATCCCATAAAGTAACATCTAAGGAAAAATTGTAGGTTAAATGTTCACAGTTTTAAATTCTTGGACAAAAAGTTAAATGACAGAATTCTTAGCCTTTGCCTAATACTTCACAACACATAAAATGTAAAACTCGAAAAAAAAATTGAGTGCCATCAATATTTTAGAATTTTTGACAAAGCTTGGAAAAATGCATCATGAAAAATTAAAAAGATAAATTAGGAGAAAGTATTTGCAACACATCTAACAAATATTTAATATCCAAAGTTCGGGGGCAATTCGTACTAATCCATAGGAAAATGCAAATAATCCTATAAAATGAGCTATAGAAATAAAAAGTATTTTACTGGATAGAAAACATAAATGACTAATAAATTTAAGTAATTATAATTAACCACACTAGTGATTAACTATATGCAAATCAAAGCAATAAATGAGATTCAGTTTCCACCCATCAGGAAGACACAAATTAAAAAGACAGTAGGCAATGGTGTGAGGAAATAGATTCCCTCACCAAATGAATGGATATGTGAATCAGTCTGTTTCAGCAAGTGATTTTGCAGGAGCTATTAAAACTTTAAATGTGTATACCATTGACCCAATAATTTTACTTATGAGAATGGGATTGTGTCATCTTCAAAAGCTGGAAAAATCTTATTTAAAGAGATTAAAACAATAGAAAAATCTGTTTACAATAATAAACTTGCTTCTGTGACCATACTTATTTCAAAATAATTCTTATGCTCAAAATGGCTACTGGCAATTCCTGATCAATGCTTTTCAACAGATGTCTATCTATTCAAATTCCTGGCTGCCATCGTCAGTGAGAAACTGGTCATCAAGCGGGCATAAATAGAAGACTGTTTACCACGTTTTTCCCTGATTAACAGTCTTTCTTACAACTAGTCTGGATGGCTTGGAATGTTTAAATTGTACTACAAGGATGCAATTATCCTTTATATCTGCACTTTGCTAAGTTTCATGTTACATTTTCCCATCATTGTAGCCACATCAGGGATATGTAGACCCCCATAGAACTTCAATATTTTATTAGTTTCAAAGTGTTGACCCATCACTATCCATATACTGACTCACCACTACTAATATTTAATTCCCAGGAGTTCTATTTAGTACTTCTCTGCAGAATAAATAGTATGCTTTTAAACTTTCTTTTCAATAATTCTAATTTGTGTTATTAACTGAGTAAAATAATGCTTGTTGATTCATAAATTCACAGTGGGATTCTGGTATTTCCATAACATCTCTCATGATTATTTTGTGCTATAATAGTGCTATTTCAAAGTGATGTGCTTTTCATCATTTCTGAACATCATCAGTCCCAAGCATGACGATGACAACTTCCATTCAGGTGGTAAATGAGCAAGTCTGACACTGTGCCTTTAGCTATTAATGGTGCAACCAGTTTTTTTAGTTCAGTTGCATAAAAGAAATGTGTTTCCTTTTTTCTATCTATTCCCTCTTTTTTATTAGTACATATTTGCCATACATATATGGTAAAATCTTTTATTTCTACTTTAAAAATTAAAATGGACTATTAAAGCCTACAATTTAAGAATTAGGTTTTTCCAATATTAATTTCCTGGATTTGGTCATTATACTAGGATTAAATTTTTTAATATTATAGGAAAGTAAGTAAATATATAAATGAACACTACTGTTTTCTCAACTTTTAAATGACGTAAAAATCCATGAGTCTATACTGATATAAATAATAAAATTAAAAACTAGAAGAAACAATAACAGCCCTTCCTTACAAAAGTATTCTAATTAGTAAGGGAAAAAAGAAAGTGAAAAACAAAAATTTACCATTCAGTGAATATCACCATAATAGTTATTGCAAGAAAGATCCACCAATAAACACTACAACTTCCACACAGTTTACAGATCTAGAAGATATTTAATATAGCTTCAAAGTATCTCTAATAATATTTATAAATTACAAAGAGAAATATAACAACTTTACAGTTATTATAACCCAGCATGCAACACCTTAACCAAACAATCAAAGTTAACATCATCTGAAATAGGACTCGTGGACAGACTGGACCCCAGATATGCCATCTGGATGAGAACACACTATTTCTAAATACAAAACATTTGACCTTTATGTGATTAAAGAAAACAACTAACAACCCTAATTTAGAGAGTCATTCTGTAAAACAACTAAGCAAGACCAAGTGCCAAGGTCATAAAAGATAAAGACAAACTGAGCAACTATTATGGTTTGGAGGATTCTAAGGAGATACAAAAAATAAATGCATAGATGGAAGAGTGAGATCCTGAGTTATCTTCTGGAACAGGAGAACATAAAGAGGAAAAACTCATCGAATTCAAATAAAATCTACAATTTAAGAATTAGGTTTTTCCAATATTAATTTCCTGGATTTGGTCATTATACTAGGATTAAATTTTTTAATATTATAGGAAAGTAAGTAAATATATAAATGAACACTACTGTTTTCTCAACTTTTAAATGATGACATTTGCAAAATAAAAACTTCTTTTAAAAAGGAAAATAGCAGTGGAGCTCAGAGGTACAGCTGGTAAGTGCTTGGTACGTGTGAGGCCCTGTGTTCAATCTCAGCACAGAAAAAGAAAGGGAAAAGAGGGGGGGGAGAAGGAAGGAAGGAAGGAAGGAAGGAAGGAAGGAAATGAAAATGGTTGTATTATATTAAACTTCTAGAGTAATTAGTTTGACTGGTTCTTGTGATATTTTTTCCATTTCCACAAGTTATTTAAACTAAAGAAGGAAAGAATTAACAAGGTAGGGAAGTGCAAATTGAAATATCTTTTAATATATCATTTACTTTTTTGTTTTCTTGTTTTCTCCCCCCAGAAACAATGGTCATCTTGTGAATTTGAGACTCTTCAGCTTTAGTCAAAGATTATCTTTTATACTGGCCCAAAAATAAATGTTCATAAAATAGTAAATCTACTTACACATAAAGTACATAAAGGCCTTTATGGTTTCAGAGAACTAATTGTTAAACATTTATACTATCTTTATTCCTAAGGCTATTTCAAAACAAATTACATTAAAGATTTAATAAACCAAAATATTGATGACAAAATTTATTTTATTCAACAACAGGAATAGCAAAATATTCATAAGATATAAATACATAAACATTTTGAACAGTATTTTAGAAAAATAAATGATATCCTGAAGTCCAGCAGCTAATAGTTCCCTGTCTTTTGGTACTGAGGATTGAACTCATGACCTTGCGCTTGCAAGGCAGGCAGCAGAACCACTGAGCTAAATCCCTGGCCCTAGCCGCCTCTTTTTAATGCATTGATGTAATTAGATTGTCTGTCTACCTATTTTTCATTTTCAAATTTGACTTAGGTTATATGTAGACCTTTAGAATAAAGATTAAGATAACTGTAACTTCAGAGCAACTTTATTGTGTTGCTTTTTTTAAAACCCAACTTGAATTTTTATTGGGATTACATTGAATTTATTTGGGAGAAATGTGAACATTTTATTATTTACATCTCATTTAAGAGTCTGCAATATCTCCCCAGATGTTTAAATTCTATTTGTATCCTTTATTAGATTTTTAATTTCTTTACATAAGTCATATTTTAGATTCATTTCTAGATATGTGCAATATTAACTGCTATTGTGAATAGTACTTTTTGATCACATACAGATGCTTCTTGCCCTACAATGGAGTTTTGTCCTGATAAACCTATCGTAAATTTAAAATATCCTAAGTCACAAATACACTGAAAACAACCTGTAGAACATCATAGCTTAGCAACACAGTTCACCGGAGAACTCCATTGTGGCTGACTGGGAGCAGAGGCTCACTGTGACTGCCAGCATTCCTGGCGAGTATCTGCCACAGATTGCTAGACTAGAAAAAGATGGAAATTTAAAATACGGTTTTTGCTGAATGCCTACTCCTTTTGCACCATTATAAAGTTGAAAAAATTGGAAGTCAAACTACTTTAACCCAGAACAATTTATATTCCAGTTGGTTATTGCTGATTGAGAGAAATGTTGGTTTTTCTAATTTATCTTGTATCTAACAAACTTACTGAACTATCTTATCTGTTCTAGTAGTTTCTTATTGATATAACTTTGAAATACTATCTGCAAATAATGACAATTTTATATCTTTCTTTCCAATGCTTGTATGTCCCATTTCTTTTTATTCCAAAGTATTGTCCAAGGACTGTATGATAATAATACATGGTAATGAGCACTTTTGTATTACTGATTCAATAAGTTTAAAATTTCTCAACTAGATTGTGTGTTTGATACAGTTGTGTGCTATGCAGTCTTTCATGGGTAAATGAAATACTTTCCTAATAGTCCTTATTTTAAAGTCAGAAATAGATGTTGAGATGTTAATATGCTTTTTCTGCACCTATTGAGGTAACCATATAATTTTTTTACTGTTTATTAATGTAGTAAACAGCACCTCAATCTTTTGGCCAAGATCAAGTGTAGTATTAATGTAGTAAATCTGACAAATTTTCTAATGAATAACCTTTCTTGCATTTGTATTTGTGAGATGCAACTCTACATGATCATAAACTATTTTAATATATCTGGAACTTGGAGAGCTGATACTTTATTTAGAATTTTTTCATTGCCATCCACAAGCAATATGGTATTATA